TTTTATGGTGGTTATGAGGTCGGTAGAATCGACCAAACCCATGCAAAGATACAATAGTGAAAATAACAGATAAAATAGTCTTTTTTCTAAACCCATACAAAGATACAATAGTGAAAATAACAGATAAAATATATTTTTCTAAAAAAAACATTTGATAATTATCTGGAGGATATTAGAAAGTTATGGAGATTTTGCATGTGAAATTTCACAATTTTCTGATGCATAAAAGTATTTTTAATCTTAAAATCAAAATTACTTTGCATGTTGGATGGTCAATATTTGAAAATAAAAAATGTGCAAGCAAATAATTAATTAAAAATGTTCAAACTTAATCAAAAAATCTGATACTTTGTGCACAAAATCCTTGTAATGTTTACTGATAATCTGCAAAATTTCATGAAGATAAGTGTACATTATAAAAAATTACAGTATAGCTGCTTCATGGTTACTTTTGGGAATACGGGCTAGGTGGAATCCATCCACCTGTATTAGAAGGGTTAAGGAGTCAGAAGTTGTGATATAAGAACAGTAGTCACTTTCTATCTGGAGGGGAAGAACCATCAAAGTGTTTCACTGCTTGATTCTGTTTCTCTTCCTTTAAGAATTCTTTCATTGTTCCCAGTCTAAATTGATATCTTTTGGCTGACAAAAAGAATAACAACAATTTGGATAATTCTGAGTTTGAATGAACCCAATCTTAATAAAAACTTCTTCAAACTATTGTAGCAATTTTATCGATGCCTTCAATAGTGACTTTTGAATACTGTTGAGGTGGGTGATGATGTCACAGGAATAGATGTAATGTTCTCTTTTGTTCCAAAAGCCTTGCAAGGAGATACATTAAGTTCTATACAAGATTCTTTTGAGGCACATTTAAATAATTTTGTACAGTCATTAATTCTGAACATGCCAGAGTCGAGTGATTCAAATGTACAACAACCTTTCTGCTGACTAATATGAAATCAATTAAAATTCCAATGTATTCATATCACCAGCAGTTATGTGGAGGAAACATGATTCACTTTAAAATACGACATCATTAGAACTTTTCACAACATTTACTTTATTGTCTTTTATAAGCAGATAAATATTTTTAATTTCTCATACATCCATTAGATCTTGCAAGATTTTCCCTATCATCTCACGAGCACGCCTTCCTGAAAAAGGCTTGATATCAAGAACAGCATATTATATATACAAATTCTGTGATCAAGTATTTTGTTAAACTGATGAAAATGTTATCTTAGAGCTCCATTTAACAATTGAAAACTGCAACTTTACCTCTTTTCACATAAACCTGCAACAATTTGTTTTAATAAGTTTGTATACGTAGTTCATATTATGGGTATGTTTTCTTCTTCAAATGAAAACATCTCATCAGCAACAAATTGATGCAGTTGATTATCCCATGAAATAATTTCACTTATTGCATAGTATAAATCTTCAGTATGACATCTTTTTTTTGGTAGCACTCCTGAACAACAATCCAGAATTTAAGGCCACACACTAACTTACAATGTCAGATCCAGTAAACTTTAAAGGTTGTTGCAAATTCTTGTAATCTTATGTATACTTATTTTTCAAATAATTGTATAATACTGGAGTATTAGAACATTCCCTTTGCCACCAATTGAAATTAATAAGCTACACAGTTTGCACTTCACTTCAATATCGCTAACTACTTCAAAGTAATTCCACAAAGGACTCTCTTTTAAATAGTTTATGATAATCAATGAATACAGAGGTTTTGATTGAATCAATCTTCAAACCACTTAATAGCAATCATCAATTAGATTCCCAAAGATCACTGTACATGCACTGCAAATGACAAGTCTGTGAACGTACTGTTCACTGGTTACTCTAAGACAACATCTGCAGACATGTTAGTTTTAATGCAGTGCATACCAGAGGTTGAAATTTAGAGCACTGATCACGTCTAGACTAGAATGACAAAATTGTTTTTCCTGTAGAAGAATACTTGAAGTTGTAGATACTAGACATGACCAACATGAGTATCACAATATTCACCTGGAAGTATTACATGATCTTTTATTATTGTTAGTGCATCAGACAGTCTGTAAATTTACTATTTTTCAGAAATTTCATGTACTCCTATATCCCATTATTTCCAGTATTTAGGTAAAACTAAAGACATTTTATTAAAATAAATGTATTATCTACTCTTTTGAATCCCAAATTCCTATTCTAAAATAAATATCTGAGAATGAAAATTACAATTAAAAACAGTTTACAGTAATATTTCAAAGCATTCAAATTATTAACTTAGGTTATCGAACTTCATTATAATGTAAATATAACAGAACTTAGTACACAAATTCTAAACTAACAGTAGTAAATTAATTTTTAACCCTACCAACACAGGTCATGGGTCAAAGGTCATGTCATTGCATTTGACTCCAATTCAAAAGTTTATTGAACTACTATTTTATGAATGTACGTATCCAATTGTAGATTATAATTCAAATTTTATTATTATACATTAGTTAATTTCTTAATTTAAAAGTAAATATTTCAAAAAACCTAAATATCAATTTTTTTGTGTCATGTGGTATGTTCAATGCAGCATTGGTTCAGATTAGATGTTTATGATGTCCAAGTACAAAAATCTATAGTTCCTTACAAATTAAAAACTCAAATTACCAATATTGAAAAACCAGAATGTAAAATAAAAACCTCCTTTTCTGAATCAACCAAGATGTTCAAAAATGAATTTCAGGACATTCTACATTTAGGGTATTTAATAGCAAGTTCAGTGAATAATTTTTAATAATATACAAATGTTAATGACACATGAAATCATATATTTTAAAAGAATAAACCATAAAATAAAGCATTTACGTTGATTTTATAGTGATGCATCTTTCTTGTTCATCTTTTCTAGTATCTGTAAACCTGGCTTCTCCAGCTTTGGCAGCAGCTATAATTCCAGCTTTGGACACAAGAGAGTCTGTCAGGGTTGACTTGCCATGGTCTACATGGGCAATAACAGACATGTTCCGGATATTCTTTTTCTTGTTCATTAAAGAACGCATCTGGTCTACTGTAAAGTGTACCTAAATATGAAAAAAATTATCACTTACCTCTTACTGCTAATAAGAGTATGCACACAAGCATTAACAGTCACTATGAAGAAAAACATTAAATCATTTTGAGTGCAAGACAGCCACAAACACAGGTAATGGTTGGGGCCAACCAATTTATATTGCTTGATGCCCAGGACAACAAATTTTACTATGCATCAGACAAGCACTTTCACTTTTTTTACTTAATTATTTATTAATACAACTTTGACATTACTTTGTCACTGCCACAGTGTCATCACTATTATAAGAATAAAACATCAGTGTGACATTTGAAATAATGTACAAGCATAAGTATACAAAATCAATGAAAATAACTTTATCTGGTAAATTGCAAATGTAAATATGAGAGTCACACTAGCCTTTAAAAAATTGCAATTGTTAAATACGTGCTTTCTAAAAAATCTTCAAGTTGAACCATAACATCTACTTTTTTTACATATTATATCAAAATAGTTAATTTCTAATTTAACATTATTTCTTATTGGGTAATGCATCACCTACAGTGCCTAATGCCTAACACTAAACACATGCATAGTGGTATATGAAATAGTGGATATCTCTAAAGCTACTTGTTAAGCTCATGTATTGTTAAACATTTAGAAACACCACATGATTTATTAAATTATCAGTCACCTGTTGCAAAAATACTGTTATTTCAGGCAATTCAATTTTGTTCATAAGCATGTTTACAATAATGTTGGGGCTTTTAAATGTATCTATAACAATGCAGTTACATAAATGCTTAATAACTAACCATGGAGACACAAATAACAATAACTCATTTTGTTTACTAGGCAAGCATGTACTTAGACAAAGTAAAAAATCTAGTATTTCGGAAATTCTTCAAGTAGCCTAAATTTAAAGTCAAGCATAAAATTAAGGTAATGTCAATTAATTTTGTAAAATAAAACTTTCAATACATCTTACAAAGTTTGAAAACTATTATGGAAAGTATAAGAATAACACTAGAAAGTATGTTCAGATAATATCATACTGTTATGTTAAAAACAGTTTAACTTGTCTATGCTAGCTGCTGTAATGTTTTATTTTTACAGTGATGATATAATATGCATCAACTTTTTAAAATTTATCTCTATAGCACTAATTAAGTTATCAGAATTTTTATATTAAAGAAGAGAGACTTCCTCTACAATAACATAGTAATTTGGATTAATCAATTTTGACCATAAAGTCCTTAAAGTAATTTACATTAGCCAAAGTTAAAATACCATTCAACTATTCTGTGACAAAACTTTTAATTATTATAGCTTTACCTTACAAAGTTTAAAATACAATAGGGAATAAGTAAGCAGAAAAACCAGAGTCTAATCCAACATTAATCTTATTGTGGTGACAAAACTGAGGCAAACAAATGGTGCAACAAAGGAGAAATTTTTATTCATTCTCTACATTTATACACTGTTTAGACTTGTATTCATAATGTCTATGTGTTTGTGATATTTTGTTGTTCCAAACCTGTAAATATGGTGAAGAGTAGTTGCGTATTAAACTGCACCAACAACAAGTTGAAAAGACCTGAACTTTCCTTCTACCCAGTTAAGCTACTGAAAAAGAAGTATTGTGGCTGAAAGCTATAAACCATAGAACACTCGAGGAAAGAGCAAAGCTAAGTGAGCCATAGTTGACTACACATATGTTCAGGAAATTTTATATGTTGTTGTCAGATATAAGACTGTTTAGTGTAGGTAGTTATCACTAATTAATTTATTTTGTGTTTGTAATTCATTGATGTCGAGGCTATAGAATGTTGTGTTTGCAATCCATTGATGACAAGGCTATAGAGATTTCTAGAAGGCCAAAGCTATAGATGTATCAATAGCTGCGACCAGACAAGCAAAAATAGAGTAAAAGTCATGTGAAAGAGGAGTTCGGTCAGAGAAAAGTTTAAAAAATTAACCATCATAGGAGTGAATGGCCTAACAGTTGATATCTTAGAGAGATTAACAGTTTTGAAAGATATGAGGAAAATAATTTGTATTTTCAAACTAACTGAACCCGCTTGCGTGGACTTTGACAAAAGGTAGATGATAACACAGGCCTGCAAATTTAAACTTCATATAAAGTTGTTTTGGTTTTAATAGCGGATTTTCCATAATTCAGCTACACAGATTTTGAAAGCAATGTTCATTTTTTGTTATCATATAAGGTTTTTTTTACAAATCAGGAAGAAATAAAAAAACTTACTTAGATCAAATTACTATTTTGTGTATTACATTGAATATTTTTTATTTATGTTTGGGTTCTAGAACGATCGATAAGACTCTCATTGCAATTGGTCTAGAGAAATCTACTATAGCCAGTGGTTGTCAACATTTTAAGAATAACAGTGACCCGATTTCAATAAAAATGATTCACTTGTGTAAAAGTACATTTGACGTTTTGTGAAAAATCTGTATATGATGAAGAGAAATGGATATTTTTGGATTCAGTGTACAGGAATTACTGATGAACATGTAAACATTTAAGAAAATAAAATCACCAATAGTGTGGAGATTGCAATTACACTATACAGCCATGTCAGATGATTTTGATAAATGGGTAGAAAGAAGATCTTAACTTGGGTTAAAAGACAGTGAACTACAAGAGTTTGTTAAACAACAACAAGAACTGAAAAGAGAAGAACGGCCACAGAAAAGATAGATTGAGAAAGACTTAAAGAAAGAAATGATGAGAGAGGCTGGAAATAAAGAGAATGAAAATACAAATTGAGAAAAAAGAAAAATGAGAGAAGAGAGACTAGAAAGAGAGAGAATAAGAGCACAAATTGAGATTGCAAAAACTCACCCAACCAAAGACACAAGAATTACAATGGATTCAGCACCAGCCAACCCAAGCTGCTCAAATTTGATGAATATAAAGATGACATGAAAGATTCGCTCAAAGTTAGAACTGGAACAAAGGTGACTAGGCAGTCTGTCTCAGCCCACTTCTCATAGGAAAAGGCCTACAAGTATATGCAGGCATGACGTCAGAAGATGCCATGGATTATGACAAATTAAAAGTGAAACAATATGAATTTACTGAAGGTTTTCATTAGAAGTTCAAAGGAGTCAAATCCAACCATGGAGAACCTGTATTTCAGTTTATAGCATGTCTGTAGTGATATTTCATCAGATGGACTGACATGGCCACGTGTGAAAATACTTTTGAGGGACTGGCAGACCTATTAGTACGTGAACAGTTCATGACCACGTGTTCAACTGACATGTCACTGTTTTTGAAGGAGAGAGCACCAAAAAATGTAGACAAGATGATCAAGCTGGCAGAACAGTATATGGAAGCCCATGGAGGTAGTTTAACTAGCAAGTCCAAGAATATCCAGTTAAATTAGCAACCAGTGATCAAGCTGGCAGAACAGTATATGGAAGCCCATGGAGGTAGTTTAACTGGGGAGTCCAAGAATATCCAGTTAAATTTGCAACCAGTGATCAAGCTGGCAGAACAGTATATGGAAGCCCATGGAGGTAATTTAACTGGCAAGTCCAAGAATATCCAGTTAAATTTGTAACCAGTGATGGCTGACCAGAAGCAGGATTTTATCTAAGGTGAGAGAAGGTTAATAGACAGAAGAGAGAAGAGCTGCTATGTTTGTTATAAAAGGGTGCAAGTCCATTACCAGCAAACAACAGCAGAAATCTCAACATAAAGCAGCTGAAGCTCTTTACAAAGACAGTGCTGGTAAGAAACAAAAAAAAGAGCAACTGACACTATGGATGCTGCTGCCAAAAGAAAGAATCAAGAATACTTGTCAAATTCAATTCAAGAAACCATGATCAATCAGTGTACGATTCATGGTTGGCTCAAGTTAGCAAACGGATCAACAGTGCCAATAGTAATGAGTGCATGCGACAAATATCAAGATGTGCCAACAAATCATAATATGCCAATATGTGAAGGCTATGTTGGGGGACAAGAAAGTGAAGGTTCTTTGAGACACTCGGTGCAGTAGTGCAGCAGTGATAACCATTCTAGTATCTGATGATCAGATGACATGCAAGGTATGCCTGTGTATGCTAATTGATGGGACAGTGAGAAAGTTTCCCATGGCAAAAATAAAGGTGGATACTCCATATTATGTAGGAGACCTTGGAGCCATGTATATCAAGGAACCACTACAAAACTTGGTGATAGGAAACATACCAGGTAGAAAGAATTTAGAGGAACTAGGCAGAAAGAAGACTGATGAAGAATCTGCTGTCATCAGAAGAGCTCAAAGGAAAAGGAGCAAGCAAGATATCAAACCTCTTAAAGTCTTGAAGAGTGACAACTTGAATGTAGGTTCACGAGATCTAAAGAAAGTGCAGAGGAAAGACTTCACTGCAGAAAATTCGGGATAGTGCCCGAGAGGAAATCAAGCACAAGACAATGACAGAAGAGACTTACAGAACAGAGAACCGGAAGAGAGTATTAAACCGGACTTATCAAGACAGTTTAACAGGGGAAGCCAAACCCAAAGACAGTCAGAAAAACTGCTGTAAATATAATAATAATACCAAGGGTCAACATTTCAAGGATGGACAGAACATCTTAGTTCTGCTGCCAACAGACCACAACAAACTCACCCTGCAATGGAAAGGACCTTTTGAAGTACAGGAAATACTGAACAGAATGGACTACAAGGTGAATGTGAACAGGAAGACCAAGATCTACCATACCAATCTGTTGAAGAAGTATTTTGGGGGAGAAGAAGACCTAATGGGTGTAGCTATTGATGTACAAATGGACATGGCAGGTGTGGCTGTCATGGAAGTAGAGTTTAACCCGATGACTACCGGTACTAACTTTCTTAGTAGGCAATGCAAGAGTGAATTTGTGAATTGAAAAATTGATAGAGAACTTATCTTTTAATGGATTTCTGATTTTATTTTTATAAATAGTAGCATAACATTCAATTATTTGTACAAAATTGTATTCTTTAATAAAGTTTAAAGAGTTGTCCGTTTAAAAAT